GAATAGGGGGACACATGTCAATGATCCTGTGGCAAAAAGGTGCAGCAGGGAACATAAACCTGGGATGGTGATGTGATGAATGTATCAAATGATGACACATCATATCCGATAGACACCCACATGGTGCCACATAGTTCATTAAGGTATAAGAACAATCAGGTAATGCTTTTCTTGGCTCATCTCCATTCTTATGAAACCAAAGTTGACATGAGACAAGCACTTTAACAATTTATTTTACTCAGTTAAACTTAAATTAAATCATGTTAAAGTTGAAGTCCTGTTTGAAAATTGCTAACTATAAGTGATGTTGAAAAGGTGATTGTTTAGACAAAAATAACTGTTCCTAGAGGCTTCTGTGGCTCCTGGGGCCAATAGGCTACATTACACTGCCAGTGGCTGCTTAGGGTTGGAAATTCCTTGTTAAGATAAACAGGTTGGTCTGTAAAGCCTTTTCGCCACTTAATCTATTCATTATTTGATCAAATATTTTTTTTTTATCATCGTTTCTTTTAATTGTAAGCTATCTCTGTCTGACATGAAAACTATTTTGATAATTTGAAATGTATAATTGCAACAAGAAAAGCAAAATCAGAACAAATATATGGTGGAAATTATTTTTTCATAGCACTGTATATTATGGGCCTACATGTTAACATGTAAATATATGCATGCATGCACATATTAGCATTTAGATCTTTTTTTTTTTTTAAATATAAATAGCTATAGATGCTGTTCATGGTGAGTCACTGCATCATGCTCAGCTGGTCAAACAAGGCTTTTTGCAAAGACAGGAGGCAGCCATCCTAACCTGCACCGCTTTATAGCTCCCCGAGGGACAAAGCTGGCCACAAGCATAACAAATGAGCCCCCTCCTCACTGATTATGTCCACTGGTCCTAGCTGAGAAAATAAAGGGATGACTTAGTCTGATAAACAGGGCACCAGCACCTGGGGAGACATACCAAGTTGCTGCATGGTTGATTCAACAACTGGTTTCTTCAGTGGGAGACAGAGAGGAAAAAAACAACTAAAAAACAAGCCCACTTTGCTTATTAAGGATCAGCCATGGAAGTGAACCATAATCCTGTAATGAGCAGAGTAGAGAGTGGCCTCTTTTCCTTAGACACAGACAAGCCTGTGCTTGCATGTTTCTCAGAAATAGATTGCTGGACCCAGTAGCCCTTCTGTAATGACCCCTCTTGTTAGCATCAGAGACTCATGGCTGTTCATTAAAGATATAACATGGTGGTTAGATCCACCGGTAAAATAGTACATAGTTGGTTTAAAATATCTTGTGCACTTTGATAGGCTAATAATGCAATGTGGAAGTTTTAATAAAAGTTGTACATTGAGTCTTTTTTTCCACACTAAACTCCTCTGCATCCCCAAAACCTCTCCATTCAATCAGATATATATCAATTCAGTTTGGGGTTACCTGGATACAACAGGGCTGTATTACAGCCTAAAAAATATATTTCAATTAATTAGAAATTTGAGTGATTAGTCATTTTCAGGTTTAACAAAATCGCCTTAAACCATTAAAATACTCCTATTTAAAAAAAATAAAACATAAATTGAATGTGGTATAAGATCTATATTAGCAAATATGAAGCAATACAGTATATGAAGGTTTTCCTCTTACTGTAGGTCTCAGGACCCTTTCTTTGGTCCCAAATATTGAAGCTTGAACATAATTACCCCAGCCTGTGCTAATTAGGTAGTAGATATAGAGCCAATATTAGCTTGAGAGATCAAACTACAGCTCTTAAAATATATTTTTTTTCTCCTGTTAAAGAACTTAAGTAAACTCTTATCAGTTTTTTGTGTAGAGTTTTACTGACATTAAGATCCAAAATATTTTTATGCGGGGCAATCACAAAAGCAAATTGGATGAAGGACAGGACATGTATACATATGTACGTAATAGAGAATAATAAAATAGAGAAGAAAAAAGGTTTACATTATGTAGTTGGACAACCAACAAGGGACTGAGAAAATGGTACACACAGCATGGGGAGACAGATCCAAATGGATCTAAAACATGTGCACAGAATGAACAAGGACAAGTAGAACTGAAGCAGGAGAAAGCGCACATAGGCTGGAAGGAAAACAAAAACAGGATGGGGAAAATGTGCAGAAAGTTTTGAGGAACAAGGATTAGTTGAGTTGAGAGAAGGTGCATGAAGTGTTGAGGGACAATCAAAAATTGAGCTGAGAGAGAAGATGCACACAGCATTGGGGGCCAATGCAGATGGAGAGGAGATAGGGTTAACAGAATGTTGAGGTGGCAATTGCATATGAAAACTTAATGGAGTTCAGATAGTGTAGAATCACAAAAGAAGGGAACAGAAGGTCCCCACAATGTCAGTGGGCAAAGGCAACTGGAGTGGAGAGAAGGTGCACACAGGATAGGAGGACAAACTTAGAACAGCTGGTGAGAGGTTGCATGCAGGAACGGGAAGACGGATGCAAACAGAGAAGAAAGAAGCTGTAATCGGTGTGGCAGACAGATTCAAATGGAGCATCAAAGGGTGCAAATAGCACAAGAGGACAAGAACTGCTGGAGTGGGAATAGTAACAGAGTGATGGGACAAACATAGACTTGGAACAGGATAGGGTGCACACATCCTGGGGGACAAAATTACAAATAGGGTATGGACAAGATGCACACAAGGTGGAGGGACAAACACTAACTAAGACAGGAGATGGGGAACACAGCCTGAAAGGACAATGAAAACGCACTGGAGAGAGTTTGCCGCAGGACAAGGAGGCCGATGCAAATGGGGCTAAAAATGGATGTCCTTGCTTTTATTTCTATAGCATGTATAAAACTGCAGCATTGATAAAGAGATGCAAAAACATGAGGAACAAAAAATGCATAACAACACAAGGAGACAAACACAAAGGAGCAGAACTGGCATTGCAGTCCAACCAAAACATTTTTTTCATTTATATTTTGTCAGCTTCAGCATTTGTAAACCATGTACACATAAATATCGTTTTCTGAACCATCATTTAGTATTGGGGCTTTCTAAACACCTGCTAATAGACACACTATCATTTCTAGAATTACATTAATTTATTCAAAAAACTACAACAAGAAAATAATGATTCGATAGCACTAACCACTTCAGAACTGTATGTCACAATGTGAAGTTCCTATAGAAATATGTCAAAAACGAATTAAGACGTATTGAGATAAGCACATTAAATTTAACTGATGTTAGGCACGACATCTGGGTTATTGGCAATGTTTGTGACATGTAGCCTAATCTACATGTCACAAACAACATGTCACCCCAAAAAACATTTGAAATATTACTAATCATGAAAGAGGGCAATCGTATTAAATTTTAAATTCTTGTTTGGTACTAATAAAATTACATCCTGTTCCCTCTTAAATCCTTACAATTACAATAGTATATAAGAGTGTTTGGAAAGGGACAGTGCTGAGTTGCTAAGGGGACAAAATTACCTCTTTTTATTGGCGCCACTGTTTTGAACATTTACAATTTGGTTTGATCAACTATATGTCATTTCAAATGCACTTTGGGACAGAGGCCAAATATGGACCCTAAAGTGCATTTATTTGTCTAACAGCAGCACATCTGAATAAAATGTCTGCAAAAACTCTGTGATCTAAAAATGCATAAAAAAGACAATACAATAAGAATACAATAAACCCCAATAAAAATCTTTTGCAATGTTTTGGCAGAATGTCTTATAACGAAATTAAATAAAAGGGAGTTTAAACCTTTTTTCAATTTTGCACATTATATAAATAACTAATGAACAACTTTAAACACCTAACAGTTGCTTGAAACTATACATTTTAAATGGAAACTTCTTAAAAAAAAACATTGTTTGCAAAACATCAATCTATTAAGAAAGAAACTGAATTACATATTTTAAAAAGTTGCCAACCAAGGGCCCTTTGCTGCAATACATTTCTCTTGTGCCTCTGGGTGGCTTTGTACATATTGCTTATAAAAGAAAAACATCTTAAACAGATGTGTGTAAAAATAAGAAGACAAGTAGTTAAAATGTTCACTTCTAGAATAGAAATAAATAATAGAATTTACTATCAAACCACGCGGCATTATGAGTTTACTTATCAAAAATAAACATGCAGGTAGAGCTGCAGCTGTTTCCTCTAACTTGTTCCATCCTCTCAATCAAAACGACTCATTTAATTCTAATCTGCGGAGGAAAACTAATCATTTTCTCTCCAGATTGTCAGATTAAACGATTTAGCTTTTAATTACATATCTTAAGAACATATAATTTCACTCGTTATTTGAAATATATTTCATGAAAAACGTGTTTTTCCTCTAATTACCATTCTTCCAATTACCTCTTTAAAAAAAGCAGCGGCCAAATTAACTAAATTGTTGCACAATGACTCTTAATGGAGAACATATTTGGTTTTTTTCACCTCCCCCATGGGCTGCTGCCTGCTCTTCCCTCTTATCAGCGCCCAGCTTCCTAACTTTCAGTGCGCATAAAATATTTACCAGCGCTGGGACTCATAAACACATCTTTGGTTGGACGCAGTGATTTCACGCCAGATCACAAACATTTTAAGGTTGCCTGTCATGGACTGTCATTTTTTGGCATGTAAATAATACATCCTGGTTTGCTTCAGGGGACACACTTTGGCACTCATGGTGCATGAATAGGTAAATAACGCAACAGAGAGATGGATAAAAGCAGCTTTAATAATGATCATCCTTCTTATATATGTCTTTCTTATAAAGAGAAACAGTCAGCCCTTATATGTTTACTCACATATAGGCCCGTTACACACTTTTCCTCACAGAGATCCTAATTAAGAGCTGTCTAATTAAATTACTGCCCCCAGTTAACCAATAGCAGTGGTTGTTTCATTAGGAAAGCGCGCAGAGTGATGGAGAGAAAATCCATCCTGATTGCAGGATGGTGTCAATTGGCTAATTTGCCGCCTTCCTTATTCCAAGTCGTGTTAGATTAGGAGAGGCGTGTGCAAAAAGCCTGTGATATAGGATGAGCTAATAGAGCCATGCAAGTGGAGAATTGCATCTCGCTGACGAGTGAAATCTCAAAGAAATTTATGAATGTGGGCAGTGGCTTTGCGAGCTCCAATGGATCAGAGGAGCTATCGTTGCAGGACCATCCTATTATATCTGCGAGTGACAACCTGGAGAGAAGTTCACCTCTGAAAAAAAACTCCAGGGAGATGACGAATCAGTCAGAGGCAGACAATTTCCCCGACTCCAAGGACGCGTCGGGGGACGTCCAGAGGGGCAAACTCTCTCCTGATCTCCACGGAGTCTCTGACATCCGTCATAATTTCGATGGATCTGCAGGAGAAAGGTGCATCTTTTCTCCGTCCGCCCAGCCGCCGTCAGTCTCCGCAGCTCCCACTGCCATGTTTCCATATCCGAGTCAGCATGGACCGGCGCACCCGGCTTTCTCCATCGGGAGTCCGAGCCGCTACATGGCCCATCATCCGGTCATAACTAACGGAGCGTACAACAGCCTTTTAACCAACACCTCTCCGCAAGGCTACCCAACGGCAGGTTACTCTTACGCGCAGCAGTATGGACACACGTATCAAGGGGGAGCTTTTTACCAGTTCTCCTCTGCGCAGGCGGGACTGGTACCGGGGAAGGCGCAGGTGTACTTGTGCAACAGGGCCCTGTGGCTGAAGTTTCACAGGCACCAAACGGAGATGATCATCACTAAACAGGGACGGTGAGTTGGCAATTGATTGATTGCTCAATTGTTTCAGCAAAAATTAAACTAAATAATTTCTCTGCAATTAAAAAATAAACGAAAAAAAAAACAAGCAAAGAAAATAAAAAACAGAAATTTGAATATTTATTCATTTAAAATGAATAAATTAAAAATGATATTTAATTAACCTCTTTTTTTATATAAAAACATATCATACTAAATGTATATTATTTTTTTAATCTTATATTTCTTTCTTTTTTTTTTTTTTTTCTGCAGGCGAATGTTTCCATTTTTAAGCTTCAACATTTCTGGTCTAGACCCAACCGCTCACTACAATATATTTGTGGATGTAATACTCGCCGATCCGAATCACTGGCGATTCCAAGGAGGAAAGTGGGTGCCGTGTGGGAAAGCGGACACAAATGTCATAGGTAGTCACATTGTTATTATTATTGTATTATTATTATCACAACTAAAATCATTATTAGATGAAAGACTACTTTTTTTTTCTTTAATTTTTGCGTATTGTCTCCTATTTATTTCTGTTTTTGCTCTTTTAAATAACATTACGCGTGTTATTTATCTTTTTTAAAATTTATTCGTTTGCACAATTTTGAAGGGAATAGAGTTTACATGCACCCGGACTCACCAAACACCGGTGCGCACTGGATGCGTCAGGAAATATCCTTTGGAAAACTCAAACTCACCAACAACAAAGGTGCCTCCAACAACACAGGCCAGGTAAAACAATAAGTTTATTTATTTATTTTTTCAATCCCGTAATTTTTTTATTTTCGTTTACTTGGTTTATTTTTAATGATTTGGAACACAGCAGTGCTGCTCTGAAAGTGTGTTTTTGTATTTTTTTTCCCGGTTGAAACCTCTAGATGGTGGTCCTCCAGTCCCTCCATAAGTACCAGCCCAGGCTCCATGTGGTGGAAGTGAACGAAGATGGGACAGAGGACACCAGCCAACCGGGCAGAGTTCAGACTTTCACCTTCACGGAGACGCAGTTCATCGCCGTCACCGCTTACCAAAATACAGACGTAAGGCTTCTTGTTTGAGGCGAGATTCAAATTTAACTGTGGCGCATCTTATTTGGTTGCTGTCTTTCTTTCAAAAGGAAAAAAGAGAACAACTTTAAACGAAAAATAATAAGAAAAAAAATTGCACTTAATTACTTTTATTATCTAATCTATCTGTGAAATTTGCGCTTCATCACGACCTCTTGAAATGCTTACATTTATTTTTTTATTTTAATATTTTTTCCATTTTTTATTATTAATTTTACTCTTATTTCTTCGGAA